TCTTTTCTGCTGCTGCCGCCGTCTGCTGCGCTGCTGCTGCCGCTGCAGTTGTTTCTGCTGCTTTTTTCAGTAAACAATGAATTTGCTGCTGCTGCTGCTGCTGCTGGGGGCCTCGATGCGAGCAGCACGCGCCGGGGGCCCCCAGGAGCGAAGCCGGGGGGCCCCCTGAGGGGCAGAGAAAAAAAGAAATAAAATAAAAATAAACTAAAAATAAATAATTAATATTAATGCCTTTATTTAGCTAGGAGAGAGGTGGAGGCGCAACAGCGAAAATTCAGCAGCAGCAGCAGCAGCAGCAGCAGCAAATTGAGTACAGCCGGGGCCCCCAACCCCACGTGTCCGCTGCGCCAGCAGCAACAGCAGCAGCAAACGCAGTTAGCAGCAACACACATACAGCAGCGACTGATTTTTTATGATTTTATGCAAAAGACACCTACCAACTTGTTAACTGCCTGTTCCTGCTACTGCTTCTGCTGCTGCTGCTGCTGCTGTTCTGGTGGTCGCCCGAACACGGCGTGCTGCTGTTCCTTCTGCTGCTGCTGCGCTTCTTAAGCGCAGCAGAACTGACGCCTTCAGCAGCAGCGGCAAAAGCAGCAGCAGCAGCAGCAGCAGCTGGTCTGTGGCGGAGCAGCTGACAAGGCAGTGTCTGTACACCGCAGCGCCGGTGCCTGCTGCTGCTGCTGCAGCATGCAGCAGCAGCAGAGGGGCCCCCGCAGCAGCAGCAACTCCTAGGGCCTCATAAGAGCATGCAAACAGCAACAAGGGCCCCCCCGGGCCCCGCACTTTCCGCTGCTGCTTGGGGCAGCATGGGGCCCCCCATGGGGCCCCTCAGGGGGCCCCCAAGGGGGCCCCCCATGGGGGCCCCTTGCTGGGGGGCCCCGCTGGCAGCAAGCCCGAAGGCCCCCGTGCTGCTGCGGCTAGACCCTGTGTGCTTAGCAGCAGCAGCAGATGTTGTGCTGCTGGAACTGGGGCCGCTGCAGCAAGGAGCAGCAGCAGCAGCAGAAGAGCAGCTGCAGGCCCTCGCCACAAGGGTGGGGGCCCTGCTACCGTCGCAGGAGATTTTAGACAGCGAAAGGTGA